TGAATTTATACAAGGTTAACAGACATATGTATTTATATGTGCTACAAAACTATCTGTGTATATAATACAGCACACAGGAGGCAAAGTTATGAAAACTTCTTAGCCATAACCAAACACCTTGAGGGAACGAGTTGCTGGGCCTGAGGGGACATCAAGGGCAATTGGCATCCTCAAAGACAATGTTCTACATCCTACTTTGGTGATTATCAGTGGGTCTTAGGGAGCTCTGGTGGTGTAGTGCCTAAGGCATTTGACTGCTAACCAGAAGGCTAGCAGTTCAAACCAGCCACTCCTGGGAAGAAAGGTTGGGCAATCTACTTCCATAGTGATACTGCCTCAGAAACCCAAGGAGAGGTCTTTATGAATCGGATCTGACTCAACGGCAGTGAGTTAATGGGTCTTAAAAGCTGGTGAGCAGCCATCTAGGATGCAAGTATTGGTCTCTCCCTGCCTGGTGCAAAGAGGAGTGAAGAAAACCAAAGGCACGTAGAAACAATTTGTCCAAAGGACCAACAGACCATGTGAACCTCAGCCTACCCAAACCTGAAACAGAACTATATGGTGCCAGGCTACCACTACCAACCACTCTGATTTCCAACACAATAGAAAGTCTTGCATAGAGTGGGAGAAAAATGTGGAGCAAAACTCAAAATTATAAAAATGACCAGCCTTGCTGGTCTGATAGAGTCTGTTGGAACCCCCAAGATTATGGCCTTTAGACACCCTTTAATCCTGAAACAGAACTCACTTTTGTGGATCAACTTTCAGCTAAACAATACACTGACCTCAAAACAAACAAACAAAACAAAACAAACAAAAAAACAAACTTAACTGCCACTGAGTCAATTCTGACTCACAGGACCCCTATTGGGTTTCCAAGGTGGTAAATCTTTATGAAAATAGATTGCCTAGTCTTCTTTCTGTGGAGTGGCTTGTGGGTTTGAACTGCCAACCTTCTGGTTAGCAGTCAAATGCCTTAGGCACTGCACCACCAGAGTTCCTTATATATAGGTCTATAAGGTGAATAATAATACCAGGGAGTATGCACTCCTTAGAACAAGCAACCATACGAGACGTAAATGTTAGGATTTGCACAGGACAAAGCTCAGAAGATAGGAAGGGACAGGAAAGAAGGATGAATGGAAATGAGAAACAGAAAGAGGAAGTGGGAAGAGTGCTTTCATTGTGGGGATTGCAATGAATGTAAAAGAAAAAAAAGTGTATGACTTTTTTAATGGAAAACTAATTTGCTTGGCAAACTTTCACCCCCTAAAAAAAGTTAAAAGAGAAAATGTAAAAAACAAACAAACAAACAAAAACTTGTTCATGAATTTCAAATCTCAAAATTTTAATGAAATATACTGAATTTTCCATCTACTATCATACAGGATATACTGGAATCATTTATGGCAATATAATTAAAAATAAACAAAACAATATATGCAGTTATCCATAAGTCAAAGGGTCAGAGAATTTAGAAGGGCATAGTAAAAGCACTAATATTAATTAGGCCCAATTGCTACATCACTGGAATGTCAAGGTCATGAATACCAGGCTCATTGATGCAGAACTCCCCACACATCTGTCATAGTGTGCTAGGGGAGCCCAAACAGGATGAAGAAACTTGTTTGTGTAGTGATAGGCTCACAGGTGAATGACAGGCCATTCTACTCCTTCTTAGGGTTTAAAAAATTATTAGTAAATGTTTCTCAACTCCCTTTGCACAGTACCTATACCCCTGCTATGGTTGCTTTTGCATTATATTTATGAACAAGTTTTAATTTCTGTATCAATGGTCTTTATCACCAATATAACCCCTGCCCAGTACAATTACAAGGACACTGTAGACATTCCATAAATGTCACATGAGTAATTAAACTCAACTTGTTTAGCAAATATGCTTTGAATAATCCATGGCAGTCCATTTCAGCTCACTAATGCCTAGGATATCAATCTTTATGCATTTCATTTCATTTTTGACAACTTCCAATTTTCCTAGATTAGTGCTTTGTACATTCTATGTTCTGATTATTAATGGATGTTTGCAGCTATTTCTCTTCAATTTGAGTCATACCATGTCACCAAATGGAGGTCTTGAAAGCTTTACCTTATCCATATCAGTAAGGCTGGTTCTACTTCGATGATACAGCTCTTTCCCAGTCCTGTTTTGAGAGCCTTCCAACCTAAGTGGCTTTTCCTCCTGCACTGTATCAGACAATGTTTCTGGGCTATTCATAAAGTTGCACAGTAATGTATTAGACAGTGTTTCTCTGCTATTCATAAGGTTTTCCCTGTCCAATATTTTGAGAAGTAGATGGCCTCCTCCTTCTTCCTAATCTGTCTTAGTCTACAAGCTGTGTTGAAATCTGTGCACATAGGTGCAACCCTGCTGGATTTGAGACACTGGTGGCACAGCCTCAAGCCTCACAGCAACATGCCACCACAGTATGACAAACTGACAGACAAGTCTCTCTGAATAAATCAGTGAATGAATGAATGAAAGTAAGTCATTTTGTAAGCAGGCAAAAAAAGAATTCTTGTGTTATTCCCAATGTTTTTTACTCAGATATCTCTCTCCACACCTGACTATTCTTACTTTTTTTTAAGTGTATTTCTGTCCACTTTTCTCAATTCAGGAGCTCTGGTGGCATAGTGCCTAAGGCATTTGACTGCTAACCAGAAGGCTGGCGGTTCAAACCCACCAGCCACTCCTTGGAAGGAAGGTTGGATAATCTATTTCCATAGAGAGACTGCCTTGGAAACCCAAGGAGGGGTTGCTATCCGTCGGATCCGACTTGAGGGCAGTGAGTTTTTCTCAATTCAGCCTGAATTTCAAAGTCAATTTCATAAGTCAGATGTAGTAAGTAGCCTTTAAACTGGAATGATAGGAAATTATGTAAATTATTTGTTTAAATAAGATTCTACAGTATAAAGTATATATAGAAGCTAAAGTTATGGTGTTTTTTTATTCTAACAGCCCAAAGGCATGCTCTGTATGAGGTAGTTTTTAATTTCTATTTATATGTGCATATGGCAAAATTTCATTCTTTGAAGATAAAGGAGAAAGGACATTGGGAGAAACCAGAATCCACAGCGTTTGTTTCTCTATTTAATATCTAGAATAAAAAACGTAGATGTTGTTTAAAGAGATAAGCATTTAAGGATGTTGGTAGATCCCAGTGACTGGGAGGGCACTCAAAACAAAACAAAAAAAAAAACCAAACTCACTGCCATTGAGTGGGATCCAACTCACAGTGACCCCTCCTTGGGTTTCTGAGGCAGTATCTCTATGGAAGTAGATTGCCCAGTTTTCCTTCTGAGGAGTGACTGGTGGGTTTGAACCACCAGCCTTCTGGTTAGCAGTCAAATGCCTTAGGTACTATGCCACCAGAGCTCCCACTTAAAAGTGGAATTATTAGTTGTACAGCATAACATTGTTAGATTAATACTTTAAAAAAACCTCTTGATTCATGATTAGTCATACAGAGTCATATTTATAATATATGTGAAAATCCAAGTTCTAATTATACTTAATTATCATGGTTTCAAACATTTTTATAGTCTAGGGCAATCTACTTCTGTAGTGATACTGCCTCGGAAACCCAAGGAGGGGTCACTATGAGTCCGGTCCAACTCGACAGCACATAACAACAACAAAGTGTTTTATATGCAAATTTAATTTTTTCACTCATTCTTATTGCTGTCAATACCAAAGATTTCCAAGCCTGAGTCCTTGTAAATATAAGAAGAGAGAGCAGTTATTCTCTCATGAAAGCCTTCCCTTTGTTTATCAATAAAATTTAGACTTGGAATGATATGAATGACATATTTGAGAACTGCTTTGATTTAGGTGTTTAGTTTTCAGTGTAGACAAGAAATCACTCTTAACTTTTTTGAATCATGAGTACTATGTGAAATTCATGAATGCTATAGACTGTATGGAAAAACACACATTTACACATATACACACATAATATATGCAATATAATTTCAGGGAATCCATAGACTTCTCCAACCCTATTCATGGAATTCCTTACAGCATGTAATTATATCACATATGCATTTAGATTAAGCCCAAAAAGCAAATGCATTTAATGGCTGCTGCTAGATGCATTACCTGAGTGTGCGGACTTAAGTGAAATCAGGCTCCTATAAATAGAAGGTGGTGCATTTTGCTCCAGAATTTTTACTTAGCTATGATTATAATGGTTTGTGGTCACTTTTTTTCTTAGTAAGGGTAACACGACTTGATTTCTTTCCAACCTGAGTGTTTCTAGAAGGTGTTTTTTTTCTTCCAGGTTCTCATGACAACACACCATTGTTCCAATTCATGTTTGTGTGATTCCTATCCAGGAAAGACTAAGATAACAAAAGCCATAATCTGGACATTTACTTTTGTGAGATAAAAATTTTCTTCCTGTTGAGAGAATTGGGTAAGGGTTTTCTGTTACTTGCAGCCAAAAGCTGAATCACATTTCTGAATAGTAAGCTATTAGGTTGCTAGAGGGCACTCGGTTTGGATTCCTAGCCAATGCACCTCAAGTGCAGCCACCACCTGTCAGTGGAGGCTGGGCATTATTATGATGCTGAACAGGTTTCAGCAGAGCTTCCAGACTAAGCCAGGCTAGGAAGAACGGCCTGGTGATCTGCCTCTGAGTGTCAGCCAACAAAAACCATGTGACTCATAATAGCCTCGATTGTAACCAATCATGGGGACGACACAGAACTGAGCAGGGTGTTGTTTGGTTGTACATGGGATCACCATGAGTCAGGGGTGGCTTGATGGCAGCTAACAACAAGATATCAGATTACTGTATCTTTTGGGAACATTTTTTCAAATCTGTGAGTTAATCCTAATTAAATTTTCTTCTTTATTTTAGGTGTGCCATGTGTTATTATTATCTGGATCTTTTTGGTTTTAAGATAAGGAATGCTATAGTAAGTGTCTCCCATTGGATAGGATAGACCTTGGAGAATGTGTGGACAAAGCCCAGTCTTACTTGCTTGGATCTGCTCCTTTGAAGTAGGCATTGACTGTTTCTGTAAATGCTGCTGCAACAGGGAGGGTGTCCTGGGCTCCCATGGTTAGGGGGCTGGGTCCTCTGGAAGAACCTGCATAAGATGAGAAACTTTCATTTATTTCGGGATAGGAGATACCTTAGTACACGTGGAACTAAAGGATTAAGGGATGACGTCTATTACAGAAAACAAACAAACAAACAAAAAAACCATAATGTGCTAAGAATCATCACTCTGCATGTCAACATAGAGCCCAAGTATTTAAAAGGAAATATTTGGCTGGTTTACAAACACATTTGAAATTAATTCAATTATGTATTTTACTACAGAAAAAAAAAATCCAAGCAGAAGAACAAAGTCACACGAATTTTCAAATGTTTTGCATAAAGCATACGGCAGTATTTGCATGACAGTTTGTACAGCAGGTGGTTAATAAAGGAAGTAATTAACTTTCTATTTGAGCATTCGACCTGTACAATCACCACATTCAAAACTTTGCATTATATTTTGAAGAGAGGCACAGTCTAGCGGTATTAATGTTACACAATTGTCTTTCTCTGGATTATTTATTTCAATTTCAACAACCCTAGTTGCTTTCAGATAGAATAGGCTCAAGTTTATATGTCAAAAGATACACACAACCAAAATGTACACTTTTGATTTAGCATAAACACATATATGCATTAATTCACACTACTGAAAATCACAGCAGTTTTCATGTATATTGAACATCGGCTATGTACCAAGTGCTACATAGATACCATATATAAACTATCTCCTTTAAGTCCTACATCAACTTGTGAGATAGGCATTATTATTCCCATTTGCCAGAAGACAGAACTGAAACTTAAGGAGGTAAGTGACTTGCCCAAGATAATAGGCTTTGTTAAAGGCAAAACCAAAAATTCAAACCTAGAGTTACTCCCCTCTAAAGCACGTTTTCCCACCATAGCATAAAGTTTGTCTCCATGAAACATTTCTATTATTTGAATATAATGTGCAGCTTCCAAAAGGAACGAGCTTAGAATTGTTGTCCTGGTTAGTAATCTCTAGGCATGGTGCTAAATAGTAAAGTTCAGTAACACCAAGTATTTTTCTGTAGGCTGTATGTCTGCCGTATGTTCCACTCTCATTGCTTTGCTTTTCTACCAAACAAGGTACATTTACTCCTCCCCACTGCAGGCATAGACTATCATGTGCTACATACTTTGATATAATGCTTGTTTATGTTTTTGCCTTCCATCACCTGTGTTCTCTTCTTCAACTATTAAAAAGTCTGTTGCTATTGTTGTTATGTGCCATCGAGTCGGACTCGACTCATAGTGACCCCTCCTCGAGTTTCCAAGGCAGTATCACTCTTTGTATATCTTCTTCCTCTGTGAGATTTTCCTTGATAATTTGAGTCCTTATTAGTTTCTTTCTTTTCTATCTTGTCTTTTATTATCTTGAAATTGATAACTGATCATTAATTTGAGAAATACTTGTTTAACATTGTTCTGGTTACCTAGTGCCACTCTGACAGGAATATACCACAAATGGGATGGCTTGAGCAAACAGGAGTTTATTCTCTTACAGTTTGGAGGCTTTAAGTCCAAGTTCAAAGTGCCAGGCTCTAGGAGCTGTGTAAAAGCCCCTAAACCTTGGGCTTCAGCTCTGCCTCTTGCTCCCGGCCCACTCAGGCAGCTACTGGCTGCTGAGGCTAAGAAGCCCAAGGTCGACAAATAAAATGGCACAGTCCCGATGTTACCAAACCACAAGACAGGCCATTAATTCAAGTCCATTCAAAGTCCCAAGGTCCGCCGAGCATGGCAGGCTACTGAACAACAACACGGCTACATGCAGGGTCCAAGCGTGCCATAAACTAGCTATTATCCCCAAGGCTTCTCCTTATGTATGGGAAGCAGACCACATCCCAAAGGCAGCTACTCAGCTGCTTGTGATAGATCCCACCATGGGATCTATGATTGCCATTCTCATCATGGGGAATAACTACCACCAGCTGCCCAGCCACTCAACCAGGCCCAGCCAAGTTGGCACACAAACTGAACTACCACAAATATCTACTGTGTGTCAGGCACTGTAGGTTCTGGGGATTCAAAGATAAATTAAACATTTAACTCATCTTCACAGAATACAATTTACTGTGCTAGTATCATCATCATCATCAAACATCACCTTCATTACCTTCATTTGTTGCACACTTACTATGTACTTTACATACATTATCTATGGAAATCTATAAAGTAAGCATTATGTTCATTTTGTAGTTGATGGAACCAACACTCAAAAGAGTTTATACAACTTGCTCAGTACCTCACAGCTGGTATTTCAGAAAAGCTAAAACCAGTACTCAGGTATAAATGAGTTCAAATTTGAGGCTCTGAGCACTATATTATTTTGCCTTCTCAGAAGAAGGCAAACAAAACAATTAATACCCTTGGATGAATCTTATGTGGGAGTTTGCATGTCTAAGTCTCTGCTTCTACCAAGACTGTAAACTTCTAGACGGAAGGAACCATGACATGAACTTCTTCAATGGGAGTTTCATAGTTCTTAAAACAGAGCCAGATTCATGCTGACCTTTCATTAAGTAGTTGTTGAATTATCTATTATTGTATCTCAGAAGGCCAAAGTTTATGAGCATCTAGAAATGAAGAAGGCACACTAAACAACCATTATTTGGTAATAGCATTGCTTGATTTATTTGTTTCATCACTAGTTCAAATATATACCAAGTGACTATAGGTCTCAGAGAAAAATGGCTTGCCTAACTGTTGGCTAAAGGTGGGCCAGGGTGGTAAGAGGGCATGACTCTCATCATTTCAACAGGGTCGTAGCCACCATATGAGGGGGTGGCTAGATCCATAATCAAATCATTATAGTAATTTGATAAATGGTTTAAGAATGTTATGAGCAAAGCTCTACAAAAGAAAATGCCCAGCAAAAAAGCACTTGATGTTGTTTGGAAAAGTTGGGAAAGTTTTATTGAGAAAGTGACAGTGAAGCTGAGGTTTGAGGCTGCAGAGGATTTTTACAAGGGGGAGAAGGAAGAAAGCACATACATATATGTGGAGCTGAGCGAACACATGGCATTTTGAGAAACCACAGGAAGTGTGGCATTGCTGTGTGCGTTTGTGAGTGTGATGGACATGGAGGGTGATAAATGGAAGGAGATGAGTCTTGCAAGGTTACGAATTATGTCATAAAGAGTCTTGTGTAAATTGAGGGAACTTTAGTCTTTATAAGTGATTCATAGGCATTAAAATCAAAATTCCTTTCTGATAATACAATACAAGCCCATTGCTACTTTCCTGGGCAAATTGTCCATATAGAAAACATAATGTATATAATCTGAAATAGAATAATAAATTTCTAAAGTATTCAAAGACCCTGGGACTAAGGTTCAGAATACCCCCCTCAGAAGACAGAAGGCCTCTGAAGTATTTGAAACAAAGCATCACAATGGGCCTTGAGTTCAGATCACTTTATCTGTAGTTGACAGCACATAACAGAGCAACAACAACAGAGGACAGATTAGTGAGGGAGACCATAGCGTAGGTGAGGAGACCCTTTAGACAGAAAAATAAAATAACACTGGTGGGAAATAAAGATGTTAGAACTAAATAGAATGGCATAGGTATAATATATATATATATTTAATTCTGCAAAGCATTTAATAGTCCTCCAAGATAATCTTGAGAATAAAATGGTGATGGATAGTAGTCTTGCCAAGTGAATTGATAGTTAAATGAGTCACAGTATTTAGTAAGCATGAACCAGTTGTTCTAGGCCCATTGGAAAGGAAGTATATAATAAATACTCCAGAGATCTGTCCTTAGTTTAGGGTTTTAAGTGCCTCAGATAAAATGAGAAAAGATGCTTACTGATGGCACACTGCAGTGTCTAAGACCGTGGGATTTGGCATTAGATGTACCTGGCTGGGATCAAGTCCTATCTCTGACACTTGTTATCTGTATCATTTTTGGCAAGGTGATGTAAAAATATTTACCTCATTGTCCTAGTCTGAGCATAAAATGAAGTAAAACATTTAGCATAGTGCTTGGTCCATAATAAACACTCAATAACTATTAGATATTTTTATGATTATTATCGCATTTTAAGATAACACAGAAATTATCATAAATAATAACAGACTCATTGAAAGTGCTAAAACTTAACCCAAATCTTTGGAATACTGAGCTGAAACTAGTAAAAAATCAATAAAAACAACTTTGAAATTCTTATAAATCAAGATGAAAAATTAATGAACAACTGTCATTTAGAAAAACTATCTTGGTTGGAAGAATATATGAAAAAAATATAGGGGTTTTAGTTGCTGGTCATCTTAATTTTTTTGGACTCCAAACATTTGTCTAACTTGGGGTGCATCAATGGATGAGTATGGATAGATGACTGGAAACAAAGGTTTTTTTGTTTGTATCCTTTTTGGAAAAGCTCATCTGAGTGCAATCAGAACACTTGTGCTCAAGCTAAAGACCAAACTCTCCTGTGAAAGGATGTACAAGACCATCAGTGATCTGACCCAGAATTATCTCCCATGAGTTGCCTCCTCCTGCTCCCTCCAACACACTGTATGGTCTAGCTATATTCACCTCTGGACACCACAGTCCTTACTTTAGATTTATTCAAGAATGCCAGGGAGAAGAAACACATCAAAATAACAAAAAATGACAAAGAACCCTTCTATCTTACCCAAGAAACCAAGCTAATTGCCATTGAGTAGATTTTGACTCATGGCGACCCACACATTGCAGAGTAGAACTGAGCTCCGTAAGATTTTCTTTTTCTTTCTTTTTTTAAATGGTGATTTGGGTGAAAGTTTACAGAACAATTCACTTTCCATACAGCAGTTCACATACACTTTGTCTCATGACATTGACTACAATTTACCCCGATGCAACAGCTCCCCTCCCACTTCCTCCTGATAGTTGCTTCTTCTCTGTGTCCATCCCTCCATGCACTCCTGCTCCCTGAGCTGTCTCCCTGTGCATAAACAGCCCTTCTTTCTCCCATGATTGTTCTCTTCAAGGACTGTATCTACCTCAGGTAAATATTCAACTCATATGCCTGTC